TTGTACGATTTTAGGTTGTTTACAATGTCTGCGTGCAGATTGAAATCCATGAAGATTAATTCTAGTGATTGGGAAATTGCCTTTGAAAAAAGAAGTGTAGAGTTTAATGCTATGACAATTTACAAATAAATCACCGAATCCCCTCAACAATTCTTTGTAAAATTTGAGAGATGATAGATGCTTTTTATAAACGCAGTTATTTTGTGAAAGATAGTTTGTATAGTTTCAATGATAAACCTACTTAAAATTTCGTCATGCTGTAGTTTTCTTGCGTTCGTTTATTTGTTTGTGTTAGGCGGCATATGGACACATTGCTGGTCAATTAAAAAGAAAAAACACGTGTCAGTATAATAATCATGTGTTTGTTGAGCCGTTATCTAAGCGATGGTAAGCCACAATGAATAGCATTTAAATTATATGTATTTTGCCATTATTTTTCTTACACAAAATAAACCTTGAAATGGTTTTATATGTGACATGAATTGAACAACAATATCTTATTAATTTCAACAGCCTATGTATATCTAGTGTTTCTACGTCTGTTAGATTCTCCCGTTCGGAAACTGTTTTAGAAGAATATCCTAATTTAATGTAAAATTATGTAAACTATTTCTGAATTTAATGTTACGAATGCCAAAGGTCAGTGTCAAGTTTCAAAATTCAGAATGCTTATTATCTACATTATTTCTCTTAAAAACATATTTTACTTTGGATCCCTTATAGCTATAATTTTCCTCTAACACTTAATGATATTAATAAGAGCAAGCTGAATCGGAGTAACGAATTACTATGATGGCATAACTATTTACATATTTTACACTACTGTTATATGGATTCAGCTTACATGAGCTTAAATTGATTATTTGCAAGAGCGTTCTGTATGTCGTACAACGGCGTGTTATCTTTGATAAAGTTTCCCCTAAAATATTCCTGCATGAAATTTAGAATTGTGTTAAAAAAGATATCATTTTAGATATTTAAAATCCATGTCAATGAAACCTTAAAACTTTCTTTTCTTTATGGTCCTTCCTGTACTGGTAATCGCTTTTAGTACGATGATTGGATACCGTTCAAGCGGTGAGGGCGTGGACGATGCCATTATATGTTAAAGACAGATTTATTAAATCCGACTCTCTGATTTTCTTCTGCTTGCATTTATGAATGAAATAGACATATCTATAAAAGTATAAAGTCGCTTTGTATCAAAATATCAATTTTATAAGTGTGTGTTTTAAAGATTTTTACATGTATGTTTTATCATGTTTATTTGAATTGTGAATGTGTGTTCCAAATTGACGAATTCATCTTTTATAATCAAACATTTTAAAAGTTCAACAAACTTTAACACGTACAGGAATGTTTTCAATTTTAATTTGTTTACACTGTCTGCATGCGGTTTGAATTTCATGAATAATTTGCAAAGAAAAATGTAAATGCAGCAAGAATAAGTGCAATGTTGTGTTCGAAAAGACAGAAGAGAAAGGGCGTTGGGACAATTTACGTTAGTAAGGTAAAATGTCATTTATATGTTGATAATAAGACCAACACAGACTATGAATAATATGTATTGCCTTTAAAGCGTGTAAAAGCATGCAACATTTACATCAGAATACAATCATATTGTTTAATTTTCTAAGAAAGGTTTTAAACAAATATAAATCTGCAGTTTTTGTTACGTATTCTTGTTAATATTATCAAAACATGTTCAGTATGAAATAGCGTGTATGTTATGAATAAGCAAAATAAATCAACGCCTGAATTCCAGGTTATGTAAACAATTTTATATATTATTAATTACTTTGCAATTTGAACGTTTTAATTCCCAGAGAAGTTTAAATGTAATAATTAGCTTACAAAACTTCTTCGTAATTCTTCTTTTATTGATTGGTGTCATTTTTATGTCAAGACCGAAACAAAATGATGAAACGCTCCTCTTATTTAATAAAACATTGACCCAGAAAAGTATCTTCTAGATATCTAGATGTATCATAATGGCATGTTTAAGACTTATCATCTTAATTGAAGATCCAAATTTTTATGCAAATATAGCATTTCAACTCTATCATTTATGTTTTGGCATTGATCAATATGACCACACGCAATTAGCTTTATTCAAGGATGGACACATTATTTTTACCAGACGAGTAAAAGAAAAGTTTGAATAATGAGTGTTTTCATGATGTATTTTTGCATCGTCAATATAACTCATTAACATGTGTATTTACTGTCATCTCCATAAATCTACATTTTATCGGTTTTTAAGGTGGTTATATCTGATAATAGTTTATCGCTTTAACCGGTGCTAGTGTGCCTGGGTGATATAATATTGCACATTTCTTCATTTTTCATGACAAATTCTTTATAAAAAACCAGTCTCCGATTTTCAACTATATGCGATTGCTTTGGTTGTCTAGGATCTTTTATATAAAAATGTAATGTCCTGTAATTTGATGATATCAGTATACAGATTAGTGGGAATTTCATCTTAACATTTGAGAATAAGACTACTCTAGATTTGTCCGATCAAGTACATATCCTCCCGCTTACTAGTGATCTTTTTTTACATACAGGGACATGCTCAACCGCTATGTTTAAAAATGTGCTCCCTAATTCTAATGAATATACCTGTATACAATAAATATTCCTCGGACCTATATTATAGCAGGTAAGTCTATAAGAAGGAAAGAAAAAATGATTAACTAGACAGGGACTCAAACCCGTAAACCTTGGATAACCATTTAGCTTTTTTATTGACCTATTCGACCGCTTATTTAATAAACATGTTTTTGTTTTATAAAGTCATCTTACAGCACACATTTCATCTTGTTGAATCGAGTTTAAACAGTTCGCATCCCATGTTTTGAAAATGCAATAATTATAATAATAATTGTTGAATTGTTTTATATATTGTCTCAAAGTTATGTTCTTATAAAATTATTTATTTAGACATGTTGATAAATATAGAAATAGTAGGACACAGGAGAAAGGAGATATGAAACAGCTTAAGACATGTAATAAGACATGTAACTGTGCCATTTGTATTTACAGAAATACACTTCATTATACATTTAATTCTTAAGCATTCCGCAAACATTGTTATTGAAAGATGTATTGAAATAAAACAATTTTGTTTGGTTTGGTTTTACAGCGAACCGACACAATTTAGGTTATATAGCGCTAGAAACAGGAATGGTGAAATCGGTTAAGCTCTGGTGTTACAAACTAAAAACAACATTAGCGCTCAAATCGCCTCACCTGTTGGAGCTCAGGGATACATAGACTCCAGTAATACGGATCCATTTAGTCGTCCCTTATGATCACGCTAAAATGAAGGGTGTCTGCAAATATGATGCCTCAATCTTTTACATGTAAGCACAAAGGGAATAAAACAGATTAATTAATGCTGAGTACAGTATTTGTATAATAACAAGTTACTCAATTCGTATATTTACCGTAACAGATAGCGAGGTGGAAAAACGATGTCATAAAAAATGGCTTTATCTAATTGATTTAAATCGGGATGGCGTCATTATGCAAAATTTTTCATGTAATGGTCGCCAACGAAACAACATTAGATCATTAACAAAACAACATATCAACCCGTCTCTTACCAACGTATTCGTCAACTAGCGACCTTTGTGTAGGCTTTAGGTTTTTCTTTGCAGCCTGTAGTTGTGTTACAGTATGTACCATCAAGAACCATTACTTGGTTCTTTTTTAAATCAAAAGTAGCCTAGCTGAATGGGGAGTTTGCCAGTTCTCTAGTTAGTATACAGTTATCGCTTTAATTATGGCTCCAAGAAAAAAAAGCTCTGAATTTGTCTCATCTGGTTTTTAAAAGGCGACAATAAGCAATAATTATGGGAGCAATTTTGATATAAAATTACACTAAAATTCCATGTGATTCGAAGCCATGGGCAATGTTTTCAAAATGCAACAACGCTAATTGCGAATCCCAGCAACCAGTAAAACGAAATGAAAATTTGACAGTGAAAGATGCGATTCTGCTACGAATGTGCAGTTTTGATGTATTTGAAAATGACAATGAGCAATGCATTTCAAAATAAAATAGGAAAATTTCGATTGTGAACGAAGTACAAAAAAGTCAAAACTGTTATCACTGAATCGAAATTATTACAACGAATTTAACTAATTCATCATATAAAACCAAACCAACAGAATTGAAAGTTGAATGAGCATCTTCTCTCTGAGGGAACTTCACAAGCTCTTAATGCGTGTATTCAAATGAGAGAGACGAGAAACACTGATGAATTTTGTTTGGAACAAAAAATTTGATTGAATCGGAAAATGTTATTTTCGCATAATAAATGCTCTAAGCATTTTCAAATAAATCATCTATTAGAAATTTCCGGAGATGGGTGTAAAAAGTAACACAGTAACGTCTTTTACTAAAATCAGGATAACGCAGGATTACGATGGTATTTTCTTAAATGCTGAAACAGGATTTGCTTTAAATGAAATTGGTAAACGGTGTATTTTGTTTGATTTACATTTTGTACATTCAAGTAAATAACAGTTTATTTGTTGTGCATTTAACAGTGTGTTTGTCATAGTCGCTAACTTTGTTATAGCATATATCAATGTATCAATACACATGAAAATACACATTGTATTCCATTATATTGCCCTGTATAACAGTTCCTTTCCATTTGATACATCAGAACCTGTTGTTAACATTACAAAGAAGGAACATCGATAAATAAAAATAACAATATAATTGAACAATTTAATATTTCATTTATTTGAAGCTCAATATCATAACAATATACGTTTAAAATGGCATTTTGTGAAATTAATTTAATAAGATGTTACAAACAGACCTACTGAGTATTATTATTTCTCATACCATAATAATAAGACTGAAAATAATATGAAACTAGTATGTTTACAAAAGTTTTTAAATTAACAATCAATGATTATAAGTAAGTATCAATAATTAACGATTATATAATTTGTTTTTACTTTTTAAATTAAGATCAACACGTAAAATATAATAAATAGTATGTTTAGTCTTTTAGTTGAACATCATTCGAACTCATTTTTCTGTGTGTTCATAAGTAATCGTGACAAAATTTAAATGTTTTTCACATATAGATAGAAAATAAATATAAAAACAGACAAACAAATACATAATATAATAAATATAAAATAACGTTTGACAATTGCCTCTTTCGCTTAACAACTATAAATGTATTACAGCATCTGTGACTGTGATCTTTTCAACCAAAACCAGTTGCGACCAGCGCAACACACACTTTAGTTTTCACTAGCCGAACCGCTTGAATCTATTGAATCATTAAGCATTAACAATTAAACAATGGCGGAGTACTTTCTGGACACACAATCTAAATCTTGTAAGTGGATAATGTTGTAATCGTCATCTCCTAAATCACTGAATGACGATTTCTTCGACAGATGATCAAGGTTGGATGATGGCGAAGACAGCTTTCTCCTGTCTTGAAAGACAATTAATGATTTCACAGGGGAATTAGATCTCCGTGGTGTGGAACAGGAGTTTTTCTTTTGTACATGAACTGTCGCACTATCTGATCCATATTCTTTACTGACGTAGCAAGACAATTTTCTTGTCTTATAATCACGATGCATGTAATTATTGTGTGTGTTATCACACCGCCGTACCCAATGACAACGTAGCACTTTTAAGAAGGCCCTTTTAAATTCACGACTGGAACTAGCGTAAATAATAGGATTCATGAGAGAATTACAATAACCCAACCAGAAAATGACAGTAAACAGTTTGTTGGGCACATGACAGGAATCACAGAGAACATCTGAAAAGTAGAAAAAAGAATATAATGATCATCTAGGTTTGTATAAAAAGGGAGCAAAATATCAATAGGCTGGAGAAATGGAACAAATTACAATAATAATAATGATGATGATAATGATTATAATGATGATGGTGGTGGTGGTGGTGATGATGATGTTTATGATGATGATGATGTAAATGATAAAATAGAAACGCAAAAATAAATATAGCCAAACATATACGTCAAAGACAAATTGATTGAAGATTTACCAAAAATGACTTTATAAGATCATTGTACCTGTTTGGTAAACCTTTGCATGTTTGGTTTACACTACAACTTTAGATGATTTGTAGTGGTTTACTTAATATTCGAAAACAACACTTCTTCCATTGAGATATTTATGAAATGCACCGATAATGACTACATTGTAAATAGAGAGATCATTGTATATTTAAGCTTAAAAGTGAAAGAAAGTTTCTAAATTGAATATATTCTGACTCTATACTCCTGGTCAATACTGGCAGATTTCAACATTATAAGATAAATATTGCTGGTGACATTTTTTTTTGTTCAAAACAAATGATATATAGTTATTCCTATTTGTGCGCGACTGTTAAGACGGATCAAAAGTTGACAGAAGAAAGCAGTACGTGATGGACTATTCATATAAAAAGTAATACGACTTGAATGTAGCAACTAGTGTATAAATTCTTACCTAGAGGTAGACAGAAAAAGAAAGGGAACCAGCAGCATATGAAAACACCGACTACAATCCCGAGGGTTTTGGCTGCTTTTTTCTCTCGTTTAAACTTTGCAAGTTTTCCGGCCGGGGTAATTCTTGAGCTGAGTTTACGAAGGGAACCCTCGGAGTTTTCGCTTGAACTGAAAATGAAACAAAATAAGGTCATTTAACCATAGTTGTAATTACGATATTTATTTCAAGTTCTATTTCAATGTTACGTTTTCTTTAATAGAAATTGTTGACATCTATTCCCAATACACGTTTGACAAAAAACTGATCTACTTTACTCTGAAACATGTTTTTTATGATAACGCGTACGTCAATTAATTGCCTGTCGTAAGTGCAACTGCATGACAAAATTTCAATAATGGCAGATGATTTTCTTTTGAAATTTTGGAAAAAAGGCACTAGCTGATGGACTTATCATTATATACATTATGTCGATAACCGTATCTTTAAAATGTTAGGTCAAGTTTGCACTTACCTATAAAAAAGTTATATTAAAAAGTATAGAAACAGAACAAATATTTGCATTCAATGTTGTTTTATAGCTATAACAATATAGCTCCATTTGAAATTCATAAACAAAATGCAACAGTAAAGCACTTTATTTGCAGGAAGTAATGCATTTAAATAAGTGTTATATTAACAAGGGCAACACTGTTACACCAAAAAGTGTTATATTAACGACTGTGTCTAGTCATTGCAATGAATTTAACAACATGATTTGATTGTAATAGCTAATGACTTACACCGCTAAAATCAATTATTTTGTTTTGAACATAAGGAGAAAAGGTCTAGTATGGATAGCTGTCATTGAACATTTACAATAAACCGAAATAGAAATTATCTGCTTTATATCTTTTATTTCAGCAATATTTAAATATCGCTAAAGATATTAGGAAAAGTACTGCCACTATGTTCTTTTCGTTATTTTAATGCACGGGCTAGGAAATATCTTTGTGTTATGTCAAGTAAACATAAATCTTATATTTATTTATAAGCATACATTTGATTATAAAGATTGGTTTATGAGCCTTCTTTTTATTTTTTTAACTTCATTTTAAAAATATAAGGCATCGCAAAATGTTGCTGAATTAAAATATATAACGGGATCAATCACAAATGAACACCCCAGTTTGCAAATGAAATTTCTTGTCTATATAATTATCAGTGTATAATTTTTACTTTGTTTAGCAATATGTCATTTGTAAACCTGGCCCAGCGAGGATAACGTGATTTAATTTGAATTGTTAATTATCCCCATTGCAATGGACAATCAGATGATTCACCAAGGTCCATTCCTACGCATTGAGCTTTAATCCTTGCTAAATGCATTCTGTGGTTTGGTAGTGGGGTGGGGTTTGGGGTGGTTTGAATCCGAAATACAAATGACAGATGTGATACATAAAAAGCCTTAAATGTGCAATTACCTGCTCCCATTATATGTCGGCATACCAGCGTGACTAAACCTTGCTGTGTGAATACGAAGAATCATTCCATTTTCCTCGCCATTCTTTATCGTTTTTGAGCCGTTATTTAAGAACTTTGTATGTTTGCTTGCTTCCCGATATATCTTGATATAAACGACAATTATTATAAATGATGGTATATAAAACGACCCAGACACTGAAAATATCACATATCCAATTTGCTTAGTAACAGTACACTCATATACTTGATTGCCACCACTTTCCCGCCAGCCAATCAGTGGTCCTACTGAAATAACACCGGATAAAACCCACACAAAGGCGATAATCAGAGCAGCTCTTCTGTTTGTTATTATACTAGAATGTTGCAAAGGCCGTGTTACTCCAATATATCTGTCAATACTTATCACACAAAGGGTTAAAATTGACGCGGTACACCACAAAACATCGGCAGAAGCCCATAACTCACATAATATTTCACCGAAAGGCCAATATTTCAAAACTTCTAATGTTGCTGACAAGGGCAACACTGTTACACCAAGAAGTAGGTCAGCTGCTGCCAAATTAACTATAAAATAATTCGTTGTGTGTCTTAACCGGCGATCTAGATACACGGCAAGAAGTACAGTTGTGTTTCCAACTATTGTTACAGTAATAATACAACCTAACAATATACTAACGATGGTCGTCTCTTCAATAGATGGACCAGACACATTGTTTGAGTTAATATTTACTTTAACATCGTCCTGTACTGTAGAATTCCAACACGGTGTGTATTTTGTTGAATTCATCATCTGGTAGAAATGGAATTGGTTCAAGTAATATGATTTTATCTGTCGCCTTAACTTAGAATCAACCGCAGACGTATGGACATTAAATTATTCCCTTGTTTGCCATCCCGTTTACATTTCATCTGTAGTAATTGTGCTTTTCTGTAATAAAAAACGAAGAAACTTAAATTAGTTTTCCTGATGGAAAGTATTAAAACAGCAACACGATTTACGGATTATTTACACATACATTTACTGTTTCATGAATAATTATCGATATGATGTTTGAACATGTAAAACATTTGGTATGTCAAATAATGTTTACGAATGAATTAATAAAGCATCTTAGAATCAACTAACCGCATTTAACTTAAAATATGCATAACTACTATGAAATACCAAAGTTCTTATTTCAAATCAATATGAGATGTTATGCCTAGAAACACGCTGTTGTCATTTCACACATTGATACTTATCTTTAATCCTAAGGAAAAAAAACAGTCCGTAATAATCGTAACCTAATTATTCATAAATAGCGCCAAACGCTACATTGTGTGAATACAGCTTTTTGAATTCCTTGCATGTTGAAAGTGTTTATATATTTACTTATCTTCAAACAAAATATATATGCTTTTTTGTACGTACGTTAAAACTTATATTGTAAAGTACAATAGACAATTTTGACGGGGCCTAGAGATAATTGTCTCCCTTTATGTGAAATGGACACATAATTAGAATGTGAATCTGTATTGTTTTGATTTCCTTTCATCACAGAAATGTTTGTGAATGATGCTATTTTGTACGTACGTTAAAACTTATATTGTAATGTACAATAGACAATTTTGACGGGGCGTCGAGATAATTGTCTCCCTTTACGTGAAATTGACAAAAAAATTGAATGAGAATCTGTATTGTTTAGATTTCCATTCAGCACAGACATGAATGATGCTTTTCTGTACTTATATAAACTGTGATACTTATTGTTACTAAAATTCCTATCAACAAAATCATCCTCTGGGTAATACTTATATTAAATACATGTATGTAAATCACACATAGCTGTCATACATATAAGAAAAAATGGTTTTTTTAAAGAACGATAAACACGGCAAATATATATAAAATTATTATTATATATTACAGGCGCCGTAACTTGACATTTTAACATTTTGACATCAACACTTGGTATTTTACATGCAAGTTGTTAAATTGTTTTCTTTCTTCTCCGTTTCCCCTGTAAGTAATGAAAGACTTTTTAGAATGTAATCATGCAATATATTGGATCTGTAGGATTTCCCTGTGACAGGAAGCTGTTTCATTGAAGCCAGTAATTCTATCTTTCTCGTATTTCCGCTTACCGGTCCCGTTTGAAAAGTAGACGATCTTTGCAATGATCGAGTTAATAACAGAACTTTTATGTTGTGATGAATTTGCGTGTAAAATCAGGGAAAAGAAAACGGACGATGATCTCTGTACGTGCTTAACTTACTGTTGATTTCATATGTAACCTGTTGATTTCATATGTAACCTGTTGATTTCATGTGAAACCTGTTGATTTCATATGTAACCTGTTGATTTCATGTGTAACCTGTTGATTTCATATGTAACCTGTTGATTTCATATGTAACCTGTTGATTTCATATGTAACCTGTTGATTTAATATGTAACCTGTTGATTTCATATGTAACCTGATGATTTCAAATAAACATTGGTATGAAAACTATTTTTTTCTAAATAGATGTGCTTGTTGATATTTAGAATGAGGTACATTGTTGATATTTAGTAATAAAGTTAAGGTTTTATTTATTTCTTTAATTTTCATTATTATTATTATTATTATTGTTTCAAAAGTTAAAGTTTGCCGTTACATAATGATGAAACAATAATAACAAGTGGATTTAAAACAAATTATTAAAGGAAAATATATAATACAGTAGAACTTAAGACCATCCAAGAATTAAGACCATCCCGCTACTATTAAGGCCATTATTTAAAAGAACGAACTTTTTGTTATTGATGTCAATAGTAACATCATTACGGTCCAAAATTAAACTACCCCGCTTATCCACCTGTCAGACAACCAGGTTCAATTATATGTATCATTTTTATATCTATTTAAAACTCAGCAGCTTTATATATTAGTATGCAAAATAGATTTTAAAGATGTTAAGTTCAAATTTGCTAAATTTTGAAACATCCTATTTAATGACACGTTGCTAGAAGTCTTACAAAACTAACTACTGAAAATTTTGCACACCGAAACGAAATAACCAAAAAGGACATGCGCAGTAGCAGAGCAATCAACCTTTTTTAGGGCTTAAGAAATAAAAGTCATATATTAATTTGACTTTCGAGCATGAAATTTTCTGTTAGAAATATTGCGACAACGTAAAGTTAGCATGGCAGCCAAACGGATGATAGCCGCATGGGCGACAATCTGAAAGAACAGCATATATACATTATACCGTAGTTCCGTTTCAAAACCCCCTTGGGTAATTAAAATAGCTCGGTAAAAACGATTCACACTTGTTACTTTAAAAATACTTCAGCAACGCCAAAGAATTTGTTATGTCTTGAATGAAATAAAAGTAAAGCATTTTATTACATATTACAAGAAAAGCTACCGTACTTATGTAATAAATGTTATAATAATATAAAAAAGATATCACATTTTCTGAAATCATGATATTGATTTTGTTTGTTTGTTTTGGGTTTTACGTCACATCGACACAGTATAGGTCATATCGCGACGTTCCAGCTTTTACTGGTGGAGGAAAGACCTCAGGTGCCCCTCTGTGCATTATTTAAGGCACAAACAGGCAACTGTGTAGAATCTTTCACATTCCACACGCTAGCTGTATAGCTTCCTCACATGAAAGAATCTAAGGTCCCTGTCAGGATTCGAACCCACAGCGGTGAGGGGCAAGTGGTTTGAAGTCAACAACCTTAACCACTCGGCCACGGACGCCCCTCATGATATTGAAATCATAGCTTAAATGAAGAATAAGAGTAGCAATTTTATTTTACATATATACGTATTCTTAAAAAAGTAATCAGATACTTTGAAAATGTTTATAGGATGTTTCAAAAAATAAAAGTTTAACTCAAATGACTAATAAAAAGTACGTGCAATTATTAAAACTACATGCCCCCAGATGATCCGAAATACTCCAGAAATAGAAATGAAAAAAAAATGTACTAAAATTTTAAGAAGAGTAGAAATGCTCAGGATTCAAGTAATAATCTTCATGGTATGTGCGATTATTGACTGATTTTACAGTTTTCATCACCATCTTTCTACTGCGTGACTAACGCACATCCCAAGTGTTCGATCCGGCATTTATCTTTATGACTCAATTGTTTAAACATACACTTTATCCACGTATTTTGTATCATTCAGCGTGTACCCCAGTATGTATGTGTTTTATACTGCGTTGTCATAATATGTATTTATTAATTATATCATTGGTCATATTGTATCACTAATCAGGGAAATGTATTAACAATATAGACTATATAAGAATTTACGTTTCAAAGTGGCAAACCGTAGACACAATGACGACATAAACACAAAACATGCACGGTCGTTACATTCAATTTTACCATTGGGAATTTACTATTTAGAAACTTCAATGTCAACTAAACAACGCGCGTATAGAAAGTAATTATTTAACATATTGACAATCTATTTTACGGTAATAAAGCCATGAAAAGCCAGTTGAATATTTTATCTTTATGTTAGATGGAAACTTGAAAATGATAGAATTGATGGAAAAAAACCCAGATCAATTAAGAACAAGCAAAAAAGATGAAACAAAAACTAAAGGTCAAAATGTCAGCTTGACTGATGCCTGCTCATCGGAGGCATCAGCAGGTGCCTCATGTTACCCAGCCTCGTCCTGAGCCGTAATTTATTATTTACAATTACATTATCGGAGTCAATGGTCCCATGTGTCCAGGACATAAATAACAACGCCGAGAAAAAAAAGAGCGCGGTAACCTTCTGCAAGTGCCTTATTACAATGGTATTAGTTTACTTTACACCAGATTATGTGACCACAAAATAATCTGAAGAGTTTGATCTCTCGGGAGTGTTAAAACCATGATTAAATGAGCAATATTAAGCTGATGTAGTAAAAGCCACGACCAATCATTGTCTACAATGTTAGATTCAGCAAGATGTGATCTTAATTTTTCATTTGAACAAACACGTTGATAAAAAATGTATTGAAATCACTTTTAAAACAGAGAACGTATATTTGTTATTGCTATTTGTTCCAAAACAAAATGACATTCATAACACGTGAAAACCTGGGCAGCAAAGAGTATTCTGATTGAATCGTTGCAAATTTGGTACTTAATAATTAGTATATCCACCTTTATAGTGTAAGTCAAAGGAAATTGATATGAATCAATATACATATTAACTCATTTAAGATAATTGTATGACATTTATATCATCATGTTCATGTATTTATTGATTTTTAACGACAACAAAGTATGAATATATTTTATATGTTGTTGAACAAGGGAACCTCTGAATGCCATTTTATAGAGAATGTTTGTTAAGTTTGTGTAAGATCGGAATAGCGCAGCCACGAGTGAAATATGAACATTTGATGTTCACGAGGTGAAACATATTTCGATCTTTTTGAAATTAACAAATTTTCCTTTTATTATATGCAAAGAAACGTTAAAAAATACATTTTAAACTAATATTAAAAGAAAAGCGCGATAATAATACAACATGACGTTATTTATGACGTTACGTTATAAATTTGGTTTCCAGTATTGTACACGCTGGTATTTCAAGGAAACAACGCAAGGAGCTTAGTGAGAAAGTGTGATTATCAAATTGATAATTTCTATGTTTCAAACAAAAACTATAAACCACCGGAAAGCATGTAATAAAACTATATGAGTTAAGACATGGAAAAGTGTTTCCTATTTTGTTTTGTTTCCTTATGTTAGGAAAACAATTGTAATAACTTTGGCTTATAATAACGTTTATTCAATCCAAATGTTTATCAAATACCATGTTTTCCACCAGTTTTGTAAAATATGTATGTTTTTATTTTCACACTATGTTGTTAAATGTGACACATGTAAGTTGATGATCAATAAAGGTATCCGTCTGTCTGTAATCGACAAATAAAAATTGATGCCTCGGCAAAAAAGTGCATTATAATTGTATAGTTGTTCTGTTACCGCACTCGCTTTGCTCAAAACAATATTGATGCTCTAAAAATATATTTTCAAGAACTTCTGATATTCATATTGAAAACGTGTCTGTAATGCTACTATCACAGCTGTTATAGGATTTTATATAACTAACAATTAAATCATTACAAAAATGATTTTATTTAACTGTTAAACAATTAAATAATAACACTAAAATGATTTTATTAAACTGTTTAGCAATTAAATCATATTAAAACATAAATAAACGAAAAGTCGTTTTACAGAGAGTAACATCACTGTTTTTGTTAATTCCCAAACATCGACATATTTTGGTTTTCATAAACTATATAACATTATAACTACAAATATTTTGGACATGGAAAAATTCCTGTTCCATCCGGGTGTTATATACATTTGTAATATGTTGTTATTGTTGAATATTGTCCGTTTTTTTTACTGTTTAAAGCATTCAAAAATAAAAATGATATAATGGGTAACAAGTGAATCTACTAGCATGAGTTATAAATTAACTGTACAAACGAATTTGTTCCTTTGTCTTTTTTATTTCTGATTCACCATAAATATATTCTTGCGGAGTCAACAGCAAAAATAAGTCTATTAGAATGTATATTTATCAATTTTAAGGTTTATTTTCCTTTCAAAACGATCAAATCTTGAGTCGCATAGTATTTAAAAGTGGTTTCGAAAGAAATTCTTACTAAGTAACGTGTTTCTCAAATACATTTAGTTTCATATAAAGTTTCGCGTGGGAAGAAACGGTATTGCTTTGGAATCTTATCACGATATAGCTGAAAAAAGACAAGTTGTTGTCTACCATTTATTTCGAGTAAGTTTTGCGTAGAATCTTAAATGTTGACGACATCTATTTCTAGCAAATCAAAATGCATAATCAAGAAATCAGTTTCAAGTTGATTATGTCATAGACCATTTTAGTAATATTATTTTTAAATCATTGCGATTTTCCTAGCTTGACGTTTTAATTTTGGTTATGATAAATTACCAAATGTTTCTTTTGTATCGTGTTTTTTTTAATTGGTAAACTTATGAAAATGTGAAATGAAAATTTCAAATGTATAAACAACCCTTACGTTGCTGTGTAAACATGTTACAATTTATTGTTTTTTAATTAACAACAACAACAGTCTTATTATATATGCTTTGTTCAGGTTTAATTGCACAAATACCTTCACACAATGTATATTGTGCCCGTAAAAGCCTTCTTTGTGATACATTAGAAAAAAAGCTATTTTCTTATTTTCATTAAATAAGCATGGTGCTTTGTGATTTGTCAAAGACAACACAAGTGGATATTAAGTGTTTAACAATGTTCTTTTAATCTTCAACACTTCTTTAAGGTTACAATAGTCAGAAAGTGTTTGTTTCTAAATAAGATGATTATAACTAACAATAATATTTTCATTTATCAAACGATTAAGTCACAGCTGTTAAAATGTTTACTCCTACAATTTAAGCGAAAAAGCTTTGAAGGAAAAGCCAAGAATTACAACACAAATACACTTTGCCTAATGCTAAATCATTTCATTAATAAATGCATATATCTTGCAGGCTCGAAATATTGCATAAGAAGCACTTTTTTACTTTCACTCTATCTAATCTTGAAACATATTATTCCTAAAGCAAAAGATAAAATACATTCAAATTATAGGCATATCCGTTAAACATAGAGTTCATTAAAAAGGTCTTAATTATTTGTTCTTTGGAACTATTTTTAAACAGTGGCTTCTTTTATTGCTTGGAATGATTTTGTATCTAATATACCGAACGTTTCAAATTACACAGGGAATTTAAATTTGAATAACGAAAAACGTTTCGGAATAGAGCTGACTATAACGTTAATTTTCAACAAAATGTAAATTTAACTCTCTGACTCAAATATGTAAAAGTATTTTTGCTTGTCTTTATATTATATGATAACATTTTTTTCATTCTATACGTGAACACGTATCATTAATATTCCACTATTTCTTTTGGTATATCGGCTACGTTTTATTGTATTATACAAAAAGAATTAACACCAAAATAATTTCAACTTTACTTCTGCATTAAATGAAATATATAAAAAACATATTGAAACTACAACAAAAAAAAAAATACAAAAGAAAAACAACATATGCATTTCAACATTAGGACTAGCAACTTAAAATCACTTCTTTTATTAACTTACAATCATTCATTCAATATAAACAATTAATAATAATAATTAACCACAGCTCAAAAATGTTAATTTTATCGGGCACCTTCATATATAATTTATTATTTATATTTTTCAGTTAATTTTCATTCCTTTTAAAAGTTTTTCCTTATAATCATCTTATCATCTTAAAAATATTATTTTACCGCAACTGCACAAATTATATATCACATGCAAATAATCATATATCAAATATATCTTACCAGCATTATGCGCACGACCAATTTAATATAATGTCCCATTATATTCGGAAAAAATCCTTTGTTTGTTTATTAAATCCGAATTGTCCACCAATTTATTTTTTCATTAACGTCTACTTCCCTGGAGTATTGATAAACAACTGATTCTAGTGTTATACTGACGTCCAACAGACACGCTTCTAACGCTATAATTCGCTCGATATAACTTAGATCTTTTACGCTGTGAGAAGGCCATTCAACAGAAAAATATCTTCACTGTAAACAGCGCTACAGTGGCTACCACATCTTTAAATGTATAGTAATTTTCCGATTTTTGAATGAGACACATTTACTCTGTAAGAGCTTCTTGTACGTTTTCAAAATATTCGGCCAACCATGTTAAATCGGTAAATTTTATCTATTTTCTCATTTTTTATCTTTCGATTAAAGGTCACACAGAACCTGTGAACAATTGTGTGATGACCTTTACCTTTTCTGTATAATAACAATTAAGTGTATTTGCTCTTTTTCCTTGTTTTATTTCTGTTTTTTTCTGACACTAGCTAAAATAGTAGCAAAGCCATTGGTCTGTCGTAGGCCAGCTAATATTTTCCTCAAAGTAAGGATTGTGAATCAAACCGCAAGTGAAATAGGTAAAATGACATTACGTTATTGACAATGACCTCTTGTCAATGAAGGCCCTAGCTGATGACAATAAACACATACTTATATGTCTGCGGTTGACAAGGATATTAATCCCTTGCTACTGTTTTTTTTTAAAGACAGGTCTGACATGTGTATAAAGATATATCTAATGAAACATATTGATGATGTTTATAAATGAATTAATTATACTTTCTTTCTTCATAATCAAATAGGACATTGCCACAGGCATTGTTGTTGCGAATGATATATGAAAATTGAAAATAAACATCATTTAATGTACCGGATCAAAATTTTGATTCCACTGTTTTAAGTAGGACTTTTATTGTTTAGTACATACATTATTTGTTTAAAACGAACTATCCAAACTTATTATTTCACATAGTTATTTTTCTTTCTTTTCTACAATAATTGTGTTAACAACATGCATGTTTTTTTTTTTTCCATTTACAACTGCATGCACAATTGTGTTTAAATGGCATCTCCTCATAAACCGCTAAGCCAATTTCATCCAAACTTCACAGGAATGTTCCTTTGGTGGTCACCTTTGAAAATTGCTCAAAGAATTTATTTCCATGCAGAACTCTGGTTGCCATGGCTAACGAAAGAAAAAACTTTCTATATCTTCTTCTAAAAAAGCCCTAAGAGCTAGAGCTTAGATATTTGGCATGAAATATCTTCTAATGAGTGTCTACCAAGTTTGTTCAAATAAAAGCCCTGGGGTCAAAATTGGCCCACCCCAGGAGGTCTTTGATTTTCCCTATATGCATATAGTAAAAACTTAAAATATCTTCTTTTAAAGAACCCAAAGAGCTAGAGCTAAGATATTTAGCATGAAACATTTTCTAATGAGTATCTACCAAGTTTGTTCAAATAAAAGCCCTGGGGTCAAAATTGGCCCCGCCCCAGAGGGTCATTGATTTCCCTATATGCATATAGTAAAAACTTAAAAAATCTTCTTTTAAAGAACTCAAAGAGCTTGAGCTAAGATCTTTAGCATGAAACATGTTCTTATGGATGTCTAACAAGTTTGTTCAAATAAAAGCCCTGGGGTCAAAATTGGCCCCGCCCCGGGGGTCATTGATTTTCCTTATATGTGTAAAGCAAAAACTTTAAAAATCTTCTTTGAAAAAAAAACCCAAATAGCTAGAGTTTAGATATTAAGCATGAAACATCATCTTTCAGTAATTGTCTACCGAGTTTGTTCAAATAAAAGACCTTTGGTCATTATTGGCCCCTTCCAGGGGGGGTCTTTGATTTTCCCTATATGCATATAGTAAAAACTTTAAAAAATCTTCTTTTAAAGAACCCAAAGAGATAGTGCTAAGATATTAAGCATGAAACATCTTCTAATGAGTGTCTACCAAGTTTGTTCAAATAAAAACCCTGGGGTCAAAATTAGTCCCGCCCCAGGGGGTCATTTATTTTCCCTATATGCATATAGTAAAAACTTAAAAAAATCTTCTTTTAAAGAACTAAAAGAGCTAGAGCTAAGACATTTAGCATGAAACATGTTCTAATTGGTGTCTACCAAGTTTGTTCAAATGAAAGCCCTGGGGTCAAAATTGGCCGAGCCCCGTGGGTCATTGATTTTCCTTATATGTGTATAGCAAAAACTTAAAAAATCTTCTTTGAAAAAACCCAAATAGCTGGAGTTTAGATATTAAGCATGAAACATCATCTTGTGGGTGTCTACAAAGTTGGTTCAAACAAAAGCCCTGGAGTAAAAATTGGCCCGCCCCGGGTGTTATTGATTTTCCTTATATTTGTATAGCAAAAACTTAAAAATCTTGTTTGAAAAGACCCAAATAGCTAGAGTTAAGATATTAAGCATAAAACATCTTTTAGCAATTGTCTACAAAGTTTGTTCAAATAAAAGCCCTGGGGTCAAATTGGCCCCGCCCCATGGGTGTCATTGGTTTTAACTACATGTGTATAATAAAAACTTAAAAAAATATTCTTTAAAAAAAAAACAGTGAGCTAGAGCTTAGATGTTTAAGCATGAAACATCTTCTTATGGGTGTCTACCAAGTTTTAGTTCAATAAAAAGCCCTGGGGTTAAAATTGCCCTGTCGGGCGGGGGGGGGTGGGGATGGCTGTTGTTAAGAACATTGATTGCTGAAGCCGCCTAAATTATTTTTTCATGTACATGTAAGTACTTCTATGGAGTGACACTATTTACAATATGAATGCAATAAGTAAAATTGAAAAAGCATTGCTCACAGAATCATCCCACCACAAAGCCTTCTACATAACAGAAAAACAAAGTATAAGACAGGAGGTTTACTCTGGGTTTCAGGCATATGACTTTAAACTATTTTATGTCGTTTATCGTAGGTGATCGGTTTTCACTTTCGTTTACTCGAACAATCTCTGTTTGATCATTTTGCATTTAGTATGTATTCATTTATTATGTGTGTTATGTATTCATTTATTATGTATGTTATGTATTTATTTATTATGTATGTTATGTATTCATTTATTATGTATGTTATGTATTCATTTATTATATATTTTTTTATGTATGTTATGTATTTATTTATTATGTATGTTATGTATTCATTTATTATGTTACGCTGGTTAACATCAGGGACAATAAACATTTGTAAATATGAGGATTACAAACTATATAATTTAAAATTATCTTCATTTATATGTTTCCAACAGCAATGTTTAAATACAGATATTATTAAAAAAATGAAAAAGAAAAGATGACTTGTCTTGTGTCACAATTAAGCTGACTTCATACCCGTACTCTTCATATGTCATTAAGTGTTATCAAAAACTATTTTGCCTGCAAAACAAAGCATTTATATGTTGCTTGATTCTTATGTTTAAGCTCTCTGTTTATTTAGTTATACAAAACAGTGAATTTACTGTTGAAGTCACTAGACGAAGTAGGTCGAATGTAATGGGTTACCGAAGTAAAACATGTACTGTTCAGATATGGTTATGTAAGGATATAGAGAAATTAGTGACATCAAATATGTTACTTACACTTTTAAAACCAAGATTTATCTATTGTTGTACTCAAACAATATGAAAATATAACGAATTCTAGTTGTTGTTTTCAATGTGATAAATTTAAATCACTTTTAAATGTTGAACGATACGATATTAATAGAAATACCATAAAACATAAAAAGGCTCTAACCACAAATTAGGTAAAGAAATAGGTAGACATGATACTTTCCCATGAGAAGAACGTTTGTGTACAACTTGTAATGATAATATAGATTGTGAGTTCCATGCTTTCTTTATATGTAAAAAAATACAAGCACATCCGTGATAATTATTCAATTGGTGTTTTGGCGGAAAATAACTACACGATTTGTATGCATTAATAAGTACACGTGAATCAACCAAATTAGGGAAGCTTGTGTTTTATGTATATGTTTTAATGAATTATATAAACAACTTGTCTTTGTTCACAGTTATAAATATTGTTAAGGTGACACAACCATACCACGAAATTGCTGCTTGTATACTATGTTGTTTAGGAGTTAGAACTAATTTGTATATTAATTGTTATTCTAATACACACCTGTGAGTGTCTGTAAACAACAGGACACCAGTTATACCAGTAGATAAACAATCTGTCTTAGCAAAATGATTATCTTTGTTATTCTGTTCCATCATAAATGTCCTTTTAATGAACATTTTACTATAGATAATATCATAATTACCAGTGTCTAGCCATTAGAGCCGTTTCAGCGCAATGATATCAGTATAATTATGTGATATCATTAGCAATATGCAAGATACGCTAATAACCTCTACATGTTTCTTTTATTCCTTTTCAACAGTTGTCCTGATTTTGAGACAACTCGATTCAATTACTGTGCTTAGATATATTCAATGATTGTTCATTTTATAACAAATAACTCATTATTACCCTAATCTAGCAACTCATCACGGTCATTTTAGGACATTGGTATATGGTTTTGACATATACAGATATGATAAAAAGTTGTATTCCGGTCATCGGTAATTATTTACTTTTTCTACTAAACTGCACATGTATGGTATTTTCTATGTTATAAATAATTCATTTAAGACCAAATATGCCTCAACATTTTTTTTGTTCTCAAAAGCTTTTTAATTTTGGTGTACTTTCATTTTCAAAAATGTACGCATCGGCTAATTACCTGTACATATTTTACTTAATATGCTGATTTCTGGACAATAGTCCAATTATGGTGATAGAATGTGTATGGAATTCTAAATACTGCATTGTCTACACTTTACTACTTCTATGACAAATAATGTCATTTTCATTGCAACTTGAAGAAATAAGCATATAGCATTCTCTTTTACTATTATTATTTGTTTTTATAAAACATATTTGCTGTATTAAATTCATTTCTGAGACATAATGTGCCTTTAAGCATTTAATTGTTTTGTTTGGTATTTGTGTATAAGAGCTGATTTATTACCAATCCAAGATGGTTATACGTATATACTAATTAGTTACAAACAGCAGGACTGGTGTTTTATGTAA